GCGAGTGCCCTGTCTCCCCCCCCCCCCCCATGAGAAGATTGGACGTTCCTCCCTGTCACTGTCCAGATTTTTTTGGACTGCAGTAGGAATTTGAGTGAGGCAGACAGAGCACTACAGCAACTGCAAATAAGATGACTCCTTAGCAATGAGTCATCCTTAGTTCTGTTCATTTTGCTAAGTGAGACAGTTGCAAGCAATGTTACACAGCGTTCTCCTTTGAAAACTTCTGCTTCAGCATGTAAGCAGATGTGTGAACTTAGTAGTGGGGCCAGATTTCCAGAAAGGCTACAGTTTTGTAGTTCTGCAGTGTTAGCAGCATCTCATCATCTTTGGTATTTATTAGAAAGGGCAGTTCCAGAGAAGAGAAGAATTTGACGATGTTTTCCCTTTGAGCACTGCATCCTGCCTTTCAGAGAGTATCATGAAAGACTGAGGGCTTAGAGTGTTTTGTTTGTTTGTTTAAGAACTTTTTTTTGGACATAAAACTTTCCTAAAGCACTGAGATAAGTCCTAGAACTGATACTTGTAGTTAGGTAGAATGAAACACAGTATATTGTATAGATAGCATCCTATAGTATAGGTAGAACAAAGTAAAGGCAAACAATTCCAGTTGCAACCAGATACATTTTATCATTAATATAAACTGAACTAGGGTAAAATAACTGAGGTTAACGATATAGGGATGTATAAAGTTGCAGAAGTATCATATTAGAGAGTTTTACTAGACTATTTGAAAAAAGTTGTAATGAATAAATGGAGGTAGGAAGAGAAACTCATTCTAGACTCAAGCCAAGAGAATTTAGGACAACCACCAAGAATAACTTCCCCATGCAAACTGCAACAAGACGAATGGAGATAGTGGGTATTTCCTCTCTGTCTCTCAAGAGAGTATGATTGGGTGGCAAGTTTGCAAAGGTGTGCCGTGCCACCACTCCTCAGAAAGGACAACTAAAAGAAGGTAACACTGACTTACTAAGTCAGAAGAACAACACCAAGGTGAGTTCTGCTCAATTAAGTAGTCCATGTTTAATACACAAGTTCAACACCTAATTCAAGCAAGTGAAATGAAAACATCTTTTGACCAAAAGACATGAAGAATCTGGTGTTTAATATTAGTATCCACAGACTTGTCTTATTTGAGTTAGAAAAAGAGACAACAGGAGCCAAGGCTTTATGTGTCTACAATAGTTCATACTTTATTACAAAATACAGTCTTGTTGGAACATGAAGAAAACAAAAAGTGTATTTATTTGGTATAAAACCAGGATCTCCCTTTCAGTTCAAGCTCAGTTGGACATCGAGTGAATTGTCACTACATTTTAACTTAAATGAGTTGTCTTCTAGAGCTACTTTATATATATAGCTCAGTAAATTAAAGTGACCACCTCCACCCCAGAAAATAAGTTCTAAATGAGGAAATGGTAAGGGAGACAACTGGACAATGATTTTAAGTATTTTAACTCTTTTCTCAACATTTAAGATACACTTTTAATGTATTACACTGTCCAAGTTATCAGCTACTTTTTAAGATACTTTTTCCTCTTACAGCTATGCTTCAGGACCTGGGGGTGTTGGTCGACAGCCAGCTGAATATGAGCCAGCAGTGTGCCCAGGT